GTTTACTGAGGCACAAAGCTACTCCCACATGAGCAGAGAAAATCAGGCCCTTGCTATAGGGTGTGCAAAATCTGTTTTTACCCACCATATGATAACCTTCTTTATGTCGTGTTCAAGATCATTGTGCAACCTTTAAAAACATTCCATTTCTTTTTTTAACACAGAAACAAGTAACAATAAAGTAAAATCAGAACATCTCAGAATCATTTGAGGATTTCCCTAAGAAAATGTAATAGTTTTTATGTAGTAAAACAATCCACATCATCTTCACCTGCCTGGAGAGAACAAATATATTGGTAATATGCAGACGTAAAACTGAGATAAATGCTAAATTGGAAGCAAGGACAGTGAAGCAGGAAGTTGACAGTGATAAAACACCAAGTAGGGAAGCAGATTAACAGTGTGTGTGTGTGTGTGTGTGTGTGGGGGTGGGTGGCGTGGCGTGGCGTGGATCCAGGGTTCAGCCAGGGTAATTGAGAGCCTGATCGTCCGTGCCAGGACACATGCCCTCCTGCCCTCCGTCCCTTCTTCTCTTTCTCATATTTTTCTTTTTATCTCTGTCTTTCATGCCCCCTGACAAAGTCTGACTGTAACGTTATCATGTCACATCAGTACAGCAGAGTGGCCATGTATTCTTACACAGGACCTTCAAGTGTCCTCGCCTACACTGAGGCATTCAAGCCACTTGTATGGCTGTCAAGGAAGCATGCACAATACCATACTGTGTTTGTGTCCTTTTCTACTGCAGGATAACATACTTCTGCAGTGTTGTCAAGTTCATTTTTATCTGTCTTAATGGATTGTTTTTTTTTTTTTTTTGTTTTCCTTGAAGCCGATGTGTGCAAAGCTGTCTCACATTTGCTTAGTTTGTGGTATGTTGTTAAAATGTGTCGCTTTGTGTCTGTCAAGAATGTAGAATGTGCCAAATGATGCACAAGTAAATGTTAAGTATAGCCTATAGTAAACACTATAAACAGGATTCCCTTGTTTTCATTCTACAGCTGTTGTGATACTGCTGCCAGCCTGTCCATAAATTATATTTCCATCAGGGATGGGAAGGGCTTTATTGGATTAAATTTGGTTTTGGTTAGTTTACCTAACCTATGTCTGCATGATTTCCTGCTGTTTGTAGATTGTTTGCTCAGCTCCAAGTAATGCAGGACGTTCAATAGGAGGTAATCAAAGGTAGATGGGCAGCGCTCGGATCGTTTGATATAAAGCAGGGGGATTGGTGGGTGGGGGATTGTGGGGAGAGAAATTGGTCTCTCAGCAGTCTTAACTTAATGAGGTTAACTGAATCTGGGTAATTGCTGACTTTCCTGTCTCGTTGAAATCACAGCCTTAACTGATCAATGCCTTTCATAAATTTATGCCCGAAGGTCATCTAGTTTATTATGCTGCCCTCCCTCACTGCCTGCATCGCCTCGCTCCGTCGGCCCATTGTGCAAAAATTAAGCGTGGAAGCTTTTTAACACTAAAAAAATGCAATTAAGCTTGTCTCAGATTTTCTAAATTAATTAGCTTGGTGTGTTGTTAAGTAAAAGCGATGTGGACATGGAAAATTTGTTAAGATTTTTTTTTCCCCCCGTGCTTCTCTGCTGTGACAGCAAATGCTTTTCGCCTCGCGCTAAATGTCTCACTTATTGCTCGCAAGGGTTCCTGCCTCCCTGCTCTCCCTTTGCAGCTCTGCTATTATCTGGAGATTTATGCAGCCAATAAGTCATCAGTGTTCAGGGAAGTTGGGGACTTTTTAAAACAAACACCAGTGTAATTTGTAATTTGGCATTCCCTAAATCTAGGAATTATGGTTCTGCATGTGGCTCTTTTGGGAGTTAGCACTCAGATGGTGGGTTTACTGGCCCGGCTCCCTCCCTGGCCGCCTTCTTTTTCTTTCTCCCCCTCGTTCCTTTTACGACTGCCGAGGAAACGGGAGGATTTCACAGCTGCTGAGAGCCGGGTCCCGGCTGGGCCCTATGACCTCCTTCTTGCTTTTTTCCCCCCTCCCTCAGTCTCACTCCCTTTTTTCTCCCTCTCTCCAGCAGTCTCTTTCCTCAGGGAGCTCTTGTGTGGCTCAGAGGAAGCTGAATCATAAAGCATGGCTAATGAATAGAATAGGGAAGGAAAGCTGAGGCCTGTTGACGGCCCTCCAGAGATGAGGCCAGGCTCCTGAAGCCCCAGGCTCAAATAGCAGACGGCCTCCACAAAGGTCAGGCTTCCTGCGGCCTGCTCCAAGGGCTGTTGGCTCCCAGGCAATGTGGCTTGAATTTCCCCCATTATTTTTTTAAATGGTTAAATTTCCCTGTTTCCTTTGGAAATCCTGGCCTTTGCTCCCCTTTTTTTTTATTGTCTGTTTCTTTCTCTTTATACATATTTCCCCTCTTTCTCATCTTTCCCTGTCTGTTTTTAGTGGCACCCAGGGTTGCCTCAACAAAGAGAGTGTGAAGAATTTGTTATACATGACCTCTGCACACCACAACCGCAGGCAGCTCAGACTGCCAGCAGCACAGCCCCGTGAAAAAATGTCAACTTGACCAGCAAAACCCAGAAAGTTCTACAAAAACAACAGCAAGCCAAATCAGGGCTCTGCTTTGACATGCCTTTTTAAGAAGTGCTTTTGTAAGCCAGCCTTGTAATTGTGGATTATGTGACTGACTCATGCAGACTTGGCAGGTGCAAAACACGGCATTAAAACCTAAATATTGGTTGTTGATGTTCCTTGGAATACATACGGAATATAAAACAGCCCACTGCACACTCAAAATGGCCAAGAAAGGAATAAAGAGATCTAGGTCAACACATGGTAAACTCAGCATTTTCTCTTCTCTTTCTCAGGAACATGTTATGTCTGCACTGCTCTCTGGATAACCACTCTGGTCATAACAATTGTTTTAACTGTTAGTGAGTTATGGCATGACCTAACCTGTCTTTTTTGCTTTTGTGACCCCGTGCCACACTGAGCGAGTCCCTGAGCCAGCTCCCGTGTCCATTTGACAAGCTTCATTTCATTCTGAGCCCATATTTTTCTTCCAGGGCCTCCAGGGCCAGGATTCAAGGCTGAGGTTGTACTGCCGCTACGCTGAGGCTTGGTACTGGAGCGTTTAATGTCGTCCAAAGCTAACAAAGAGCCTGTGTTGTAGCCTGGCGCCCTGGTTCTGGGAGACTGAGTGAGGGCAATGCACAACACTCTGTTTCCTCTATAGTCTTTCACCTCATCTACTGTAAGAGGAAACAGGAAGCATCTCAATTCAGCAGTGTTTGCCCTTCTCTGAATGTTCCTCTTGCCGAGATAAAAAGTAAAGAGGTGTTATTGACCCTGTCTCACATTTGCATCAACTACCTACGCACTTGTTCTCTAGTCTTTCTATATATAAATCTAATAACTAACATGGCCACATATGCTCAAGCAGAAGCCAAGGTCACTGCTGAAAACTACAGTTCATAATGTTATTTACATCATTCATATATATATATTTAATTGATTATCCATATTTAAGCAAATTACTTCATTCTTCACCATCATTGACTTTCCATTAATTTTAATCTGTAGTCGAGTTTTATTTAGTAAAATATATAATTGTTGTTTTTAGTTGGTTCACCTGGCTCCATCTGCCTTGTAGGTTTCCTACCTGTGTTTTACATGGATGCTGAGAACAAAGCAAATTGTTGAGTTGTCGCTTTCCCTGTTTGGCTGTTGTGATTAGAGCTGAAGCGAGACATCAAGCGCAGACAGACAAACACTGTGGAGTACTGTAACACAGTGGCAGTGAAGTAGAAATTGGGAGGTCTTGGAAAGAAGAGGGCGTCCTCAAAACACTTGTGAAGAACTAACAGGGGTGCCAAGGACAGCCATCTGTGTTTACAAAATCGTTTGCTTTCTCTTTCTGTCTCTGTCTCTCACTCACTCTGATTCACTGTTCATTCTTTACATATGCTCCCTTTGTGCTGCATAAAATACAAGCGCCGCAGTTAAGGACACTCAGGCCCTTTGGGTGGAACATATGTTCAGCTCTTGCAGCTTTTTTACATGTCTGTGCAGCCCAAATGAGAGGAGTTCAAAATGAGGCTTTAAGACAAAGAAACAAAGGCCCTGCATGGGCTGTGGGGGATTTTTATTGTTAATATTATATCCCAAGCACACAGACCTTTAGCTACTGTGTTTTGCACAATGCTAGGTTTTGTGTGGATTTTACAGTTTTTTGGTCGAATAGTGTTTATACATGTCCTGTGTGGCCAGTGACCGTGTATTTTTGTAAAAATGTATGGTTTGTTTTGATTTAGGTGGTGCCTGCCAGAATCTACATCCCATCTAAAGGAGGGAGGCGAATACTATGCAGTGTTTAGTCTAGACTCTCCACTATCATAGTCAGATGTCTTTCTCCCCCAAGTATTTGACTCAACCTCTGTTTGTAGTCTACCAGATTTCCTCTGCTCACCGTCAGTCACATCAGCCAAATCTTTGTTTTTCAGCCAAGAAATGCTTGTGTTGTTGACGGATCATCTGTTTACGTCCATTAGAGGCTGATAACCTTTTTTAAAAAAAATCAATTTGCTAAAAAAGAACATTTCTTTTCGAATATAACAATATTTTATTCATGCAAGATATCCATATATGATTTCTGAGTGGCAGCACGTATGCAGGAGCCTTTGTGCTATAAAGCCGCAGAGCCACCTCACTGACTTCCTCTGACTTTGACAGCGTTTCTTATGAGGGTTTTCAGGTGGCACAACAGTGCCACCTAATGTTACTTCAGTAGTAAAAAGTCAGACAGGGACCTCAGGTACAACGGGAGCTCCTCCTGTTGGCTCATTGGAAGCTGTTGATGGAATCTATAATGTGTGTATGGGAGCTGGACTTGTAGCTTGTAGTCCCATTATGTGTCAGGTGCTTAGTTCGGTTTAAATAAATAGTCTTACATTGTATTTGTCATTTTTTAATAGGATTATCTAAATTTCACCTCATCAGAAATTTCCACTAAAGACCTGTCTTCTCGTTTTTCCAGGTGTCTGATGTAGGATCAGAGAAGCTCTTTTCCCCTACCACACCCAAAGGTAAGCAGCCACCCTGTTTTCTCTTCTCCCCCTTTACCCTCTCTCCTTCTGCCTCATTTATACACATGACAACAATTGGGTTTTCTGCGAATGAGTCCAAATGTGCCCCGCTCTAATCCTGCAGCTCCCATTCAGATTTAAATGTCAGCAGACATAAACAAGGTCTGGTGACTACATATGCATACATTTTTGCCCGGCTGCCCGAGTGGTGTTTCTTGGACGACCCTGCCAAAGGCTTAGCCCTCCTACATATTGGTTCATTAGAGGGGATTTAGAGCCTCCCTGCCACATGCTCCCACAAATAGGAACTTCCCCTCAGGCAATACAAGCTCTCTGACAGCAGGCCTGGAACATAATGGATGCCAAAGGAAAGAGAGAGAAAGAGCTTTGTCAGCCCCCCAGATAACACATACTCTGTGTGTCTGTATTCACATATACACAAATGTGGATTATAGGGTTTTTGCTATATGACTTTACATTATTTTTGTGCATTTGTGTGTCCAGGACTTGGTATATTTCGCATTACACAGATACCATGCAGGTGCAGAAATTCAGCTGCACCTGTATTTTCGCTAAATGTAGTGTGCTTCCTTGGTTAGAGCAGGGGGAAAGGTGTCAAGCTGTTTATGCAGGGAGAGAGGGGAGGGGAGGGAGGAGAGGTGCTATCAGCCTACTAGTGACAGACAGCAGCATGCAGACCACGTCCCCCCAGGGCAGGAACCAAGAAGGAGGGCTATTAACACAAGCAGAGGGAGAAGGAGGTGGAAGTGCAGAACAATGTAAAATATGGCAGTATGAGGAGGGGTCTGCGTCTCTGCAGGACAGATTGGATATATAAATAAGACATTGGTGGTAATTATGGACCACCGCTCTTTTAGAATTCAAGGCTACATCCATACTACTACATCTGTTTGAATTTTTTTTTGAAAATTAAGTACTACAGATACACCGGGGTCCACACTATTGATATGTGGGGAAACAATGCTGATTGGGTCTTTTCCGTCACAACGTAGCTTTTGCTGATTTGTCAGGCTCCTATCACATGACCCCTTCCCAGGAGAAACACCCAGAATGAACCTTTCGACTATAGAACACAACGTGGATAATCAATTACAAGCCATGCTGACCCTGTTGTCTTTCCTAAGAGTTGTCGAGCTGTTAAATTCTGCATTTTACAATGATACAACTGTTTACATGCGCAGGAGACGAGTTATGTAGCCCATGCATGCCTTCCTGCTTACACTGACATGCAGATGCTCAGTGTATGTGAGTGGTCATATGAGATGCGTTTTCAGGCATGTTAGTGTAGAGCGAGATTAGAACTGATACAGAGCCAAAACACTTGTGTAGACAGAGATTGTTTGAAAAGTCTAACAAAGAAAAATGTACTAGTAGGGATGAAGCTTATGAGAGCGCTGTAGCATCAGTGTAAATCTACTTCCTTCCCCCTGTAAGAGGTTTTGTTAACCTCCAATTTATTCACCCACCTCTCGATCAGAACCTCCGCTGTGAAAGCTACTGTAGAATCCCTCTTAACATATGAAGGCGTTGCCTGAGTGCAGTAGCTGTGACTGCTGAGTGGAAAAGCATGGCTGACAACGAGGAGAAAAACCAGGCCTGCTGGCTGTGTGATGTAGATGGCCTGTGACCAGCGTCGGCCTCATGAAACCAGCGTTCACAATGACAATGACTTCCAGACTTGCATGGTTTAGAAAACAACTAGACCGCGTCTGACTCCATTTATTCTCCACCAGGCTGCTGGACTACCGCTGTTGTCAGCTGTCAGAGTGTTGACTTATTTTCCCCAGCATGCCCGTACAGAACATGGCTGCATATAAACATTCACCGCCGCGGAGAGCTGATAATACAGGCACATACACAGCCGCTGTCTCTAACACACATTCACTCAAACACTCCTTGCATGTCAGCTGGTGAACGAAGGCCTCTGTGGATCTTGCTAATGTGCACACAGGGCTGAGGATTAGGGCCTTGGAATTACATCCAGACAATCCAATCAGTCTCTTGTGATTATCACACAGATCAAGCAGATCCTGTTTGGGTAATGTAGAAGAAGGGTACCAGATTAGAATAAGGGGTTAGAAAGGGCAAAGCAGCAAATAAATCAGCAGTTGGATGAAGTGATTTGGGGACATGAAGGAAGAAGTTATCACGCTACAGTTGCAGAGATCCCACCATCCAGCTCTCATCTCCCATTCCAATGTTGTTGTTTTGAGCTGTAATGGATTCAGGACAGTGTTTGTTTTTGGCCTAGACTGTTTTTTCTGTGTGTACATAATGTGTGTGTGTAATTCAGAGCAGCCCACAGGCTGTTTTCCTCTGGTTTAGAATGCAGCGTATGTGTCCCATTACCGGTCTCGCTCGCGGTCCTTTGGGATCAATGAAAAGCCCGCTTTCCTCTGATCACCAGGCCTGTGGAGCTGTTGGCTGGGAGACATCTAGACAGATGCACACACATATGCAAACAAACACACACACACACACACACACACACACACACACATTATGGCACACATAAATATACAATGCTGTGATTATGTTTGGCTTGCACATTTGTCCAGATCATCAGTGTTGTTTGATTTTCTTTTACCTCTTTACCCCTTTCTTTTCAACGTGGCGCTCTGAACCTTATTTTGGTGAGCAGTTACGGGTACAAACAGTTGGGGTTACATCTAAATTGCACACAGGCCCGCAGTCTGTCATGTTAATGAAACGGTTCAGGGTTAATAGAGGAGAAGAAAGACCAACATTGTAATCAGTGAAGGCAGAGTGCTGTAATTATACACATACAACATGGTTTTGGGCAAAACCCAGACACCCTTGCCGTCTTTCTCTCATGTTTACTTTTCATCATCTCTGCATTGGTCTGTTGACAACCTGTAATAGATGCAAGCTAACAGCACTGATAATAGCACAAGCTAATAGTATCTGTAATAACATGGCGCACACTGTGCAATCGTCTTTGGATGTTGTTTCCCAAAAGCTTGCACAAGTTCTGCTGAATGTCTGCCTGTGTTGGTGGTTATAAGGTAGGAAGTTGCAGCAAAGGGCGAGCATTATCTAACAGTTATTGGTTTTTGTTTATTTCCTGTCTTAAGCCTCCTGCAATTATTGATTTCCTGGAGGATGGCATGTTTAAGTAAAAGCGGCTGTGAAGACTTGCGCTCGACTCAGGGCTACTCTTATTGAATTGCAGGTCAGAGTTTGCTGTTGTCACTTGCTTGAAGGCGAATGAGGAGCTAAATGTAGCTGCTGAGCAAGTACAGGGCACCTCCACAGGGCCCAGATAAACACTTAGTTCGTAGGCCTTCTTATGACATTTCACAATACTGCGCCTATGGATGTGGTGGGGAGCTATCACTGAGCTGCCAGCAGTTAGAAATATTTCAGAGGAGCACTTTGGAATCTGCAGTGGCTATGTTGAATGTTGTATATGTGGGTTTTAGAGCAATAGGTAAATGCTTTATATACAACAAGGCCCCCTGGTGCTCTGCTCTGCGGTTCTGTGCTATATGCTACCTGCCGTGGGATGAGAGTAAACCCATGCGGTTTGCCTACCAGCAAACCTGGGGCATCTTAGGATAGCAGGAGAAAGATTGGTAGAAAACCCATTTCTGAAGTGGATTTGTGCCCTTGTAATCCTGATTAATTTTGACCCGTTGTGCTCATTTTAAACAGAGCATTACAGTAAGCGTGAACACAGCAAGCTCCAGGGCGAAACCAGGAGCTTAGCGGCTTTGGGAGGCTTAGCTGCAGATGGCATTTTAAGCCGGACTTAATAAATTGTTTCCATTAAACTTACCGGCCCACACATACTGGATTAGACCAGTGGAACAAAGGAAGGAGAGAGCGTGCAGACGAAGAGGAGAAAAACACACGCGCGCACACAACTGCCATTGTGCACGTCTAACTCTGCTAACATCTCTCTGAGGCCACATGAAAGGTGAAGACAGGGTTACTGTGGTGTTCAGGGAGATAGAGGCTTTTGGACATGAATGCAAAATCCACTCACTTTAGATCCCTCGCTCGTCAGGGATGTTGGACCAATTTGCTTAATTGACATAGAAGTAAACAAACAAAAAAGATGCATAAACCATTTAGCTTGGCAGTGGATTTAGGGCTTATCCTCTAACTGTTTATATATAAACACATTACCAATGCTGTAGCTTAAGGATTTAGGATCTGGCCATATCCTTGTGTTTTTTTTCTACTATTGGGTCTCTTTTACTTATATATCCATCTCTGCTATTGTGGGAAATCAATTCCTTATGGTTGAACCACGCCTCTCCCCTCTTCCATCCAGCTTCCACCGGCTCATGGCTCGCTTCCTAAGCTCTCATTATGTGCTACACAGTCCAGGGTCCCCGTGTCGAATCACTAATCAACCACCCTGTCGGCAGGCCCGCTCTCTCAATAGGTGCTGAATGGCCTTTGTTCCGCCACTGCTGTTTGCTATGTGTCAATAAAAGAGCTATGGCCTCCTCCACCTCCTCCTCTTCCTTTACCTGGGGCAGCCATAGCCACATGCCTTCTCCTGCAGTGCAGGCTTACAGGAAAATGAAACACACACAGTCTCACCTGCTGGATTCTGAATGCCAAAGAAGGGAGCACGGATGGTGATTGGAGAGGGAGCGGCAAGGTCAGGGGCAGGGGGGATTGAGGGCAGCTCAGGCATAGTGAAGTAGATGAGAAAGCATGTTTGTATTCGGCCAAGCAGCTCACTTCTGGCCAGGTCAGTGTAATGTATCACTAACCTCGGCGGCCCGCCTGACTGTTTGCAGCCTCTCAACCATTAAATAATGAATGGAGGTTGACCCTCTGACCAACTAATCAGCTTTTCACCGGTGTTGAATCAGGATAGAGTGGAGGTTGATGGAGAGTGCTGCTGGCTGGCTGGCCGGCTATAGTATGACTGGAGGGCAGACATGTTGCTGGGAAAACAAAGGAGCTGCTGAGGCTTCACACAGCCAGATTAGTGAGCG